TGTATTTATAATAATATATAACTAATAATAAATGTATCACCTTAATTAATATAGCTTTGTACTTAAGATTTTTTAAATAACGATAAAGTTATTTACTAATAATATCAAACAGCTATATTTCACAATTGATTATTTTCTCGTCCGATATCCTCAAATATATAATAATTATTCTACACTGAGAGAAAAAATAGTTTTAATAATTTATAATTTATAGTATTTTTTGACACAAATCATATCTTTATAGGTCTTATATAGTACAAAGTATATGGTGATACAATTTTACTATATTTATTTTTGAAATTATTATAACTTATAATAAAATTTTTATATTGATTATACAAATAATTGATTATATTTGGCAGGACTATGTCTACAAAGTTATTATTACTAAAATTATACTAGCAGTTTTCCTATAAAAATGAGTATGAGCCACTTTTTCCAGTTAACGTTAACCGACGATTTCAATTTGTTAATAGAATTGTTAACATGAAGAATAAAATATCTTCATTAAAGGTGACAAAAATTTTAAATTTTTTTCTTTTTTGATGACCATATTTCATCCGTGTTAGCAATTCTATTAATAAATTGAAATTGTCGGTTAACGTTAACCAACGTTGAAAAAAGTGGCCCTATGACTGTTATTGACTACATTTTATATAGTCTATAATTTCTATGCAATTATAATTTCATATATCACATACTTTTCTCTCAGCGTAATAATGTATGATATATTAATTACAAAATTAATTATTTTTGGAAAGAATATTCTAATACAATTATGAATTTTACAGTCGTGTATATCAAGTAGCAATTTTCCATGAAATTTATTTTCAAAATTTATATAACAAGGTATCAAGAAAATTATATTAATTGTTTGTAGCTGTATTTAGCTATATAAATAAGTTTGTAGCTGTATTTGTGAATTTAATTTCGATTAACACGTTATAAAATTACTCTTTTTTGATCGTGTAGTATACTGTGTAGTATTATATGTAAACGATGTCTCTTCAGCGAAGAGTATGCTGCTTGTCAGTTACAGGTGCTTAATCTGACATATATCAACCCCTACACTCCGGTTTTTCTGATTCTGTGGGTAGACAACGCCTACAAACAAGATTTAAACCGACCGTCGCCAGTTTTTATATCCCTTTCATCTACTCATTTAACATGACAAAAAAGTAAGAATGTATACAAAATATCATAAAACTCTTAATAATCTTGTCAATAAATTTAATTAACTTCGATCAACTGAAGAACTCTTCTACCGAAAGAACAGTTTATAACTCTTTAAATATAATTCTTCTCTCTCTCTCTCTTTATCTTTCTTTGTGATATTCTTATAATATATTCCATTACAAATATAAAAACATACATTTCTAAACTTGTTCTTTTAACTTTATAATAATATTTTAATAATTGTATCACATATTTCTTAAAAAAAGACGTAATCAATTATGCAAAAAGATTATATCATATTAATTACATTGCATTAATTATGTTAAATTTATATGTTAAAATAAATAATAAGTAGCTATTTGACAAATAATACTGCATCATGCAATCTAATTTTTCTATTTTAAATAAATTTTTATAAAATACAGAAAATTATAAACTTTAAATTTTCAATGTTATCTTTTCTTGTTTTTATTTAGGTTGCATTATAAGTAAATCTAAAATCAATATAATCCTGCATTTTCGAAAACAGATATATTTAAAGATACCTACAGATGAATGTATAGTTTTATCTTTTGATTATCTATTGTTAATAATCAAAGTTTCTGCTATATAGATATATGGTAGATATAATAAATTTACCACTAAATAATCACTTTAGTATATTTGATATCAACTGATATTTTTGCAAACGCATTTTACAGCACACAGATTAAATTTTTGTAAAATTAATAATTATAATTTCACGCACTAAATAATTATTTCATCAAAAACATTGTTCTTTCACTGTTTAATATCAAATAATTGCAAACAATAAAAATTTCGAAATAAAATTGCCAACTAAATTTCCCAGCAAATACACTATTATCATGGCAAACAGACTGCATTGCCAATAACACTTTGAACATTAATACTTTGTTTAACATTAACATGCAATTCTTATGACAAATTAAAAATAATATAATTTTCGTAATAAATAATCTTTTTTGTAATTTTTAAAAATACTACTTATTTTCTTAAATTTCTCATAAAATTGATAAATGTTACTTATTGCTATTTAATAAATCCAGGAGAAACGACTATAATTTAATAATACAAAACTTTTTATATTATAGTTTTTAATAATATTTTGTCAACGTACGCAAAACCACTGCGAGATAAAAAAGTAGCACAATATGAGCTTACTTATCAACTGTTATTTAAACATTAGAAAAAACATAATCAATACAGTCAAATCTAAAGCGACAAAATATACATATCTGGTGACAATTGTGTACAAATTGTTCGTTCGCTATATTTCAACGAAAAAATGACAAATATGCAAGAATGATTTTAATCAATTCTAACTTCCTAAGTAAGACAAAAGCGGACCGCTGACAGTGAAATTATGATATAAATGTATAATAGCGACTGTATGCGATAGTCAATGCGATCGATGTTTTGCAAGATAATTATTTATGCACGATATTCACTATTAGACAGATAATAATAATCGTGAAAATACAGAAAAATTCAAATACAAATCCGCAATTGTCGCGATGCATTTCGTGAGTGATATGAAGTGTATTGAATAATGATTGCGATTGTCGGATTGATACCACAGTATCACGTAGTAATTATTCAATGCAATTCAGTAGAATTTTCAGATATTGGACATTCAATAGAATTTCAGATATTGGATAAATATTAGAAATATCGAAATTATTGAAACAGAGCAAATTAATTATTTAGTACAGAAATAAACTTTGAAATTGCAAATTATTATAAAGTGTAATAGATGTAGTGTTAGTCATAGAAAAACATAATGTACATTAGGGATTCGATTTCAAACCGATTTTTTAGAAAATTAATTCAAAGAAAATCTAAGAAAAAATCGATTAACAAATTGTATTTTCTTTCGTGTTCTTCTAGAAAAATGGCGTAGATAACAATATCGTTCATATAAACAAATAATTCTAAAAAAATACAATTTGTCAATCGATTAGGGTTGTTCGATTCCAAGACTTCTTAGATTTTCGTAGAAAAAATCGATTTTTTTTTAAATCAATTTAGAATCGAATATCCTAAAAGCAATTACATGTAAAAAAATTTTAGTCGTAACCGCGAGGCGTAAGCAAATCGACCAATCACAGTGAGCAGTAATATGAAAAAAAAGTAAATTATTATTATTATTATTTCTAAGCAATAATAATCCCGAAAAATACAAGTAGTTCGAATCCTCGTGGTACTTTCAATGACTTTCAGTTTATAATATCAAGTGTATCAAATAATGATCGCAATTTTTTTGGATTGATACCGCGATGCAACGCAAACTTCACACAGTAAATAGTTATTTAATGCAAAATTTTGAGATATAATTGAATGTAATATTAAAAATATCAAAATTATTAAAATAGAGCAAATTAATTGTAGTAATTATTTAGCATAGAGATAAACTTCAAAATATTTTAATAAATGTTAAAAATATCCGAAAAAGTAAATTATTATTATTATTATTACGTATATAAATGTATATTTTTGCACTTTTCAATAACTGCATTATATTTTCATAAATGTATTGTAATAGAGCATATAACATTGGGCCATTGGTAAAAAATTAAATTTAAAAAATATTGAAAAAATGACTTCAAAATATTTAAAATACTTGTGCATATACTGAACTTGATTTTCTCTTTTTCTCTTTATTGCGTTGTTTGTTGTGTCGAAATAATGTCTTTTTTGTAAGCTACAATTTATAAATACCTTATTTTAGATGTGGAGGCAAACATTTTAACTTTACAACAATAAATATAAGTTTACATAGATTCAATAGTACATTTTACAATTTTTAGTGCATATTTTTGAACATGTTTTGCACATTTTAAGAACATACTTGCATATTAAAGTAATTTTTAAAGCATGAACTTCCTAACTCTACTAATTGTAAAAGGATAAAATATACATACCTGACAATAAGCATATATTTATCGTATTTTTTATGCTTTTACTTTAAAATAATGATGATTAAAATCTTCGTGAAATACGAAGATTTTAATCATCTCCAAGCATCATTGTTAAGGTTATCGCGATACCGGAATCACAATATTGTTGTATACAATAGCAGTAGTACTAAAATGTAATATCTAATACATAATGGATGTACGACATTTTGAGACATTTATGACAAAATTTTACATGCGTGAGATATATTTTTATAATTGCAAAAAATACAACTTAAATATGATTCTGTGGTCATCGCGGCACTTTCCGTAAATAAACGCGATTCAAAATTTAACAGCGCTATTGCACAATTCGCAAAAAAAGCATCTAAATAATAAACCAATCATCTAACTATCTTAATAATAAACCAATCATATCGCCAAAATTAGATTGATTTATTGTACTTTCTGCACTTAACATAAAATAAATGTACAAAGCGGACAAAGTTATTTAATATAAGAATAAAATTCTTAAAATATTTTAATAGATATTAATAGTAAAAAAAAAGCGAATTATTATCAATCGGTGCAAGTTATCATAAAATAAGGACATGTATGTACAATTATGATTGTGCACTCGTACTTTGGCTACACTGGCGAAAAATAATAATTTGTTAAACATATAAAGATAATTTCAATTGACTTCAAGTATTCAAAAATTAATTACCAATAACAAGACGGAAAATACAATGTATAATAAAACTATAATCGCAGTAATTTAATATAAAATGCAGATATAAAATTTAACGTATTTTATCAGCTACTAGAAATTATGGTTAAAACCTTAAATTATAATTTATTTAATACGTAGAACGTTTTAATCCTTCTAAAATGTTTTAAGACAGAATATAATTGAATATTTAAAGGTCTTTATTACTTGGTACATAAGCAAAAGTTAATATTTAATGTAGCAAAATTTAAAAAAATAAAAAACAGTTTTTTATTTTAATTATTTACTAAAATAAAAATTTAGAAACTTTATGGAAGTGTCATCTATGTTACTTATAATGAACATGTTTTTATCGTAATATATACTTAGGAATTAATATATTAATATTGACGTAAACCACCACGTCTTATTGCTGGTTGCATCATTCTGTTTGGAGGTGTTATTGATATATCCAAATAATCTCCTATTGTAAATCTATAATTGTACAAAAAATATATGTATATATTTGTAGTTATATATATATATATAAATGTTTATAATATATAAAAAGACATCTTTTTTGACATGAAATTTTTTATTTACCTTGCTTGGGCAAGTGTTTTATTATCATCTGCACCTTTCTGACCAGAACAGGTAACACCAATCTCACGCATACGATAACCAGAGTTACGTAATTCAGGAGTCACTAGTGAAAAATCAAAATATGTTCCTTTGCTGCGAGCATCTGGGTTTACTTCTTTAACTAAGCCTGTAATTTCTCGCAAAGTAGCATCCATCCTTCATAGAGAAATAATTATAACATTAGAGATAATATCTCAAAGTAATAATCGTTAACATCAAATTAATAATAATCATGATATTACAACTCATATTTTCTTCTATATTAAATAAATTAATATTACCATGTATATATTTGCAGTTCGTTTGAAGGAACATTTCCTCTGCTGTATTCCATTATATTATGATGACGACCAGTGTTACAGAATACTCGCAGTAAAAGCGGACATGTCTAAAATACAAACAGATACACCATCATCGTTTTATTTATACATAATTATAACTAATAAAAGCTATTTGAATGTATGAGAACTTTCTAGAAAACATTTCTTATTGTTTGTTATGCTTATGTACTTTCTCTCTGTCCACCGGCTTTTCGGGAAGCTGTTTTTCGTCAACTACCATTGATTCCAATGCTGATGTCATCTTTATTAATATGTAGCTGGAAAACACTTGTAGCTGAAAACACCTATCCAAAAATATCACTTTTTTAACGAGAGATAATAAATTTGCAATCGCTTATTTACAAATTGCAAGAAGATGGCGAAGTTATTGATGGCACTATTTCAGAAGCACTTAGAGGTTATGAGATGAGCCGGTTTTCTAAAAGCCGATTGGCTATACATATGTACACTCGTTGACAAAAAGATTGCAACACTCTTTACTTGATGAGTTTTAGAACACATCAAAATTAATTAAGGTATATATAGATAAATTAAATTCTATAATACATATGCAGCCATGTGTATGATGTAAATTTATATTACGTTATATCAGATATCGCATTATATCATTATTTTGTATTTTATTATTAAATTATATACTCTTATTTGATAATATTACTTAGCATTGGGTGTTTACGATAATTCAAGTTCGAGTTAGTTTCACTAGGACCGAAAAATGAGATAGACATAACCATCTAGAACCTTTATGATTCATGACAACTCGACGCTGTCTTGTATTGCTTGAGTTAAATTCATTGAATTTGTTGAGTTTATTGAGCAAATTTTATTGTAATAGAAAAATGTCAACTGCAAATCAATCTATGAAAGAAACAAATAATGTTGGTATGTATGTTGGTATACCTCTTTAATAAATTAATAATAATATAATTAATAATAATAATAAATGACATTTTTCTATTACAATAAAATTTGCTCAATAAACTCAATAAATTCAATGAATATAACTCAAGCAATACAAGACAGCGTCGAGTTGTCATAAATCATAAAGGTTCTAGATGGTTATGTCTATCTCATTTTTTTGGCCCTAGTGAAACTAACTCGAATTTGAATTATCGTAAACACCCATTATGTAGCTGTACACATTTGCCTGATTGTGAATACATCTTTATGATTTTTCTGCGTTCTAAAACTCATTAAACAAAACTGCAATAACAGTACAGTAATGTATACAGATTGCCATAAAGATCGGAGTAATTACTTGACGTGTATATACGGTGCTGTGATGGTGCTGTGCTATACATATACGATGTATAAAAATAAAATAATAATTACCGACAAGATTATATTAGAATTTGTCGGAAAGTAAAATACGAAGTAAAATGTAATTGATTTATACAAATGTTTTTCTCGAGTGAAAAATCATACAGGTTATAATTCACATTTCTTGTGCACAATACTGCTTTGTCCATATATCTGTTAAAATAGAAAATGCTTGACGTAAAATGTTCTCAGAAAAAGTAAATCTACAAAATATACTTTCTATATTATATAAACTTTTTTACCTATATATGTTCTTTTAATAACTACCTGTATCCTGATACATTGAATAAAAATTATATGTGTGCATCTGTTTTTATAAATAGTCGTGTAGTTATAATTTTTCATGATTTTTGCTTTTTTTATAACTATCTGTTCCTTCACATGGTATTTTCCTACTGCAGATTAAGATTTTTTTGCTTTCAATGTTCAACAGAGTTTTAAATGTAGTTGTGCGAGGCTTGATGAAAGACCAGTGACACAAGAACAGTAAAAGATAAATATGTTATTCAGTTTGCTATAGTGTAAATTTGTGTCAGTTTGCATGCACCAATGTCCCTTATTTTTTTGTTTGGTTTATTTATAGATTATGATAACAAGTAAAGAGGCGAAAGAAAGCTTAATAGGATGCAGTTTTATGCTATCATGTGATAATATCTACATATACGAATAAGAAATCCTTGTTTATTTTTCTCATTTTTAATTTGCCTATCCTTAGTCACAAATGATGTTATATGTATACATATGTTTAATGAGATAATATACTGCTGAATGCAAAATAAAAGTTTATTGACACTTGTTTGCACCTTACATGAGAGATAATTGCCTTATGTCAATTTATATCTCAAAATAAAAATTTTATATTAAAATATTTTATATTGTGACCATGTAGTAAACCAAATCAGATGAGTATATCCCAACAAATCAGAGGAAGAGAAGGAAAAAAATTTACAGATATTCATACACATGTTTATTAACGATTTGATATCCCAATAAGTAGTCATATCACATTCACCAAAAAGATATTGCATATTATATAAATTCTGTGATATCTTTTATATATAATACACATTATATACATAATGTATGTATTTTTTTATCATGTCAATAAATATTTAAATTATCTAATCACAGACAGACATTCTGTGGTGCAATAAAAGAACGAAGAAGCAGTGCAGTTATGAGATTGTAAACACCGCGAAAAGCTGATCTCAAATAACAGATTATATGATGTGATTTTTTGAACATCAAATTTTGCTAATCATAAATATATCATAAAATATTTTTTCTACGCTAATTGGAGTTCTAAAGGGCTAACTGGAATTCCAGTAAATGTGAATTATGGACAGCTGATGATCACGTGAGTTTTTCATAAAAGATTGTCATTTTAATTTAATAAATTTCTATCTTTAATTTGCCTAAAGAACAAGCACAATGCGGATGAATTGCACAATGCATGTATATAAATAGATCTTAAATGATGCGTGCACATTATCACATAGTTCTTCGTGTTTTCCTTCATACCACGACAAATGAATCGACGCAATGCCAACGGTACTTTCCCTCAGAGCGCTTTATTTGAGTTTAGTTGGCGGCATACGTCGACGGCATATGTCGGCGGCGTGTGCGTTGGTACGCAATACGCCGCGATTCTACATAAGCTATCTTTTGGATAATTTTGATACTTGGATGACCTGGCGAACAACTATCTTCTTCACATTTGTATGAAACTGTAATTGTGGAAAATCTCATGCTGGTGAGCGATACCATGGATTCAATGATTACCCGCGCGTTTTCTGTTAACCGCTTTCACGCAGTACTGATCACGCATGAAAACAATGCCGTGGTTTACACTCTCAATGTTTCGATCGCCGAATAACGCAGTACGGAACAAATTTTGCAATGACAACTTATTACCGAGGAATCTTATACTTCAATCTGTCGTTGTCCGTTTAATAAAACGCGAAACACTGGTATGCAATTGGTTTTTAATCAATTTTGTTGAGGAATGTATGCAGAAATATGTGCACTATTCTTAGATATGATTCAGATTTAGTACATGTCGTTTGTCTTTGCAGTTTATATCTTTGTACGTATGTATATGTTTATTATATCGCTGATGAGGATAATAAATTTGCATACATTGCAAATGCCGTCTAACCTCTTTATCATGAAGCTAAAACATGATTTAAATAGTGTTTAGTGCATTATCATAATATTGTGTTTTCAAGCTTGACTTTATATAAAAGTATCATGTAACAAGTATTTTTTTCTTTTATTAATTGTTGCATTAATGTTGGCAGGGTATGACCATTTTGTGGAAAATATACATGACTAAACAATAACATAAGAAAAATGGTAAGCAACTTACCACAAGAATTCAGGAGATATCAACGAAATAGAAATCAACTACGTCACATATTTGAAGAGACACAACGTACACTGGAAATCATAAAGCTTGAAAACTTTTTTCCTGGAGGTAATTATCCATTATACGTTTAAATTTTCAGTCAAACCTATACCAATTAATCTAATGCAAATATTTTTTACAGAGAACATTATCGAGGAATTACTACCCCCATTGACCTTGAATAAAGTGACACACATTCTCGATAATATTCCTGCAATAGTCGTCTTTGGACAAGACAATAAAGCTAAAGCTTCGCTAGTTAACAACTTACTCTCAGCTGATATTTTGCCATTGTCCAATGATTCGTGGAGATGGGTCAAACTTACTTATGGTCAAACAAATCATGTCAATCTTACATTAGGTTTAGAGTACGAGGTAGTAGAGACACTACAAGCAAATGAAAAATCATGGAGCACACTTCCTATCGAAGATCTAGCCAAGTCAATAAGCGAAGATATTAATTGTCCTACAATATTAGAAGTGAAATTAAATCAAGAAGTGCTGAAAGAAGGTGTTCAAATATTTGTTGTTCCAAACAATGGAGTGATAAAAATTCTTGAAAAAGGTTCTCTAAAAATTTTACCTATATTTCTTTATGCTCTTGGGGAGCAACCATTGACGGAAGAAAATTTGGAAGAGTTGAGAGATTTAAAGGAGACTTATCCTTATAATCCGATTTTATTCATATCATCATTAGCTAATATTTCTTTGGATGGCACAGATGCGGAATTGACTGAGTCTGAGCAGCATAGTCTGCAAAGTCGATTAGAAGTACCAGGCGTTTCTAAGGAGTCGAAGAGCGATGATAGTATTAATATTGACAAAATGAATTCACTTGGTTTAACATGGCTAGATCAATTAAGCAGTTTAGGATTCCTTGGTATGGAAGAATCTGTGGAAGTTCATCAATTAACGTGGCTTGTCGGTGAACAATATATTAATAATTCGAGCAATCTGGTGGATTCATGCAAAAGAACGGATCGAGTCTTACATTTTACGCGCGGCTGCTTGCAAAACTATCTGATTAATGCTAGTACTTATTTGAACGAAATACACACGACCAGTTTGCGTAAATTTATCTTAAGTGCATTTGACATGGCACGAAAAATACAGATTACTCCTAGAAGAATACAGTATGCTCAACAAAAAGAAAATGAACTTTATGCTAGTCTAATGAAAGTTGTTAATGAGCAGCAATTGGAGCTAACTGAGCTGATACAATGTATTATTCAGGAAATGAAAGATGACATAGCGGGATCTGATGTTTATCGATATCAGAGTATTCTTAACGATGATAATGAAAGGGAGTGGACTGTTACTGTTCGCGTCGCGATGTCGGAAGTTCAGCGATTTGTGTTGAGTCGCTTGGGTGAGAAAGTCGCAAAGGAGCTCGTAAACTCGGTTAATTGTCTTCGAGAGACTTTTGTCGGAACTCTTCAACGTTGTTTAATAAGTCTGGAAAATAACTACGAGCACGACAGCACTTTACTGGCTAGCGACGCCTTAAAGCAAATACTTTCCGCGGCTTACAACATCGAACTGCACAATTCGTCACCATCCTTAGTGCATTCGTTCTTGGAAAGATTAAGACAACTCTTCCAGTCCTTACCATTACCATGGGCACCCACTCCGACTTTGAACATAGCTTGGAGAAGGAAGATTACCATCGACATCTTGAATTCCCTATCAGCAGCGAGATTAGCGAGGGCAATTTCCACGCAGTTTAGAGACAAACTGAAATCCTCACACGACGCCTTTCAAACCGCTTTAAGATCCTTGGAAAATTATTATACCGGAAAATTGGAGAGAACCGAGGAGCAGAGGGTAGCTATACGGAAGTATCACGCGCCTAAATTAGCTAAACTCGCATTGGAATCTACGTCGATGATGGACGCAGTCCGCTTTGGGATTCCTCAATATAACAAAGAGATTGGCAGAGGACAATACGGTGTGGTGTTTGCTTGCAATAGTTGGGGTGGAGCACCAGGACCGTGTGCAGTAAAATCAGTTGTTCCGCCAGACGAAAGACACTGGAATGATCTTGCGATGGAGGTTTACTACACGAGATCGATACCGGATCATAAAAGGATAGTGAAACTTCGCGGATCGGTCATTGATCAATCGTATGGCGGAGGATTCGGGTTGGGCGCTGCAGTTCTCTTAGTCACTGACCGATTAAGCCGTGATTTATATTGCGGTATACATACTGGTCTCTCATGGCTGGAACGTACACAAATAGCAATAGACGTGCTGGAGGGAATACGCTATCTTCACTCGCAAGGTTTAGTCCATCGAGATATTAAACTGAAGAATGTTTTGCTTGATATGGAAAACAGAGCCAAATTAACGGATCTCGGATTCTGTATTACTGAAGCTATGATGTCGGGAAGTATCGTAGGAACACCAATCCATATGGCACCGGAACTTCTGTCTGGTCACTACGACAGTAGTGTCGATGTCTATGCTTTCGGCATTTTGTTTTGGTACATATGTGCTGGGAAGGTTCGATTACCATACGCATTTGAACAATTTCATAACAAGGAGCAGTTATGGACAAGCGTACGAAAAGGTGATATTTTGTTACATATTAGTTCAACTAATATTACAAACGGATAATTTTTCACTAACAAAAAACGTATTATATTTTATATCTCGATGTTTGCTATTGTATTTTTATTATTGTAAAAGCTTTCGTAATTTATGGTACAGCAAGCATATCATATCAAAGTATTGTCAAAACTTAACACAAATATAAAAATTAGCTTTTTTGTATAATATATTGAAATATAGAAAAGTATATAAAGATTTCTATAGAGTAGATTTAATAAATTAATTAAATAAAGGAAAGAAAAACACATCTTGACAATTTTAGTTAACTTGAGTACAAATTGACATTTACTGATTCAAATTACTACTTATTTCAGCGTATGTTATCTTGTACACACGTTATATAAAATATTAAATATCATTTGTGTTAGGTCTTAGACCTGAGAGGCTATCACAATTTGATGAGGAATGTTGGATATTAATGGAACAGTGTTGGTCTGGAGAAGCATCCAAACGTCCACTGCTCGGTGCAATTCAACCTGTATTAGAGTCTATACAACAGAAAGCAGAAAGAGGCAAGTCCTTACAAGAACTCGACGCACAGAAGCTTCACGAGAGTTCAGCCGAACAAATACATCCTGTGCTAGCATTAGCAGAGCCTAATAATCAGAGAGGTGCTGTATTTAGTCCGCTTCCACCTAGACGCAAGGCTTTTAGAACTATGAATCCTGTCACACGACCTTTTCACACGACCAAAATTTTTCAAACAGGTGTTTATTCTATGTTCATACAAATGCGAGAATTTTAAGTGCCAGAACCAGATATATCTTACACTATAAATATAATTTATTGATATATTAATTATTTGGAATGCTTAACACAAGGCTCATTGTTTTCATTTTCACTGATTCTGATAATCTTAATAGTACTTTAGAGTACAGTATTACAGTAAAGAAGTCTCTCTTTGTACATCGTGAATAGAAAAATATTTACGCATCCCATTCTATTCTGTGGGATAATTTAAAAATTAAGATTTACAATTAAACTAATTTACAACAAAAATATTACTACAACAATGTTTTATTCACACAATACATTAATATAAATATAAAAATGTATTTCAATATAGAAACATCTTGCAGTAATATATTTTTGTTTCTTATGAGATAATAGAATTATCTTATAACAAATGGGCTGTGCAAATATTTTTTATCCATTTCATACTGGGTTACATCATTTTTTTTATCAAATTTGACAGTGTATTTTTTTTCTTTTCTTCTCTATAAAGTCACATATAAAGTTGGTATGTAGGAGTGTATTAGAGTTTATTTAATAAATTAGTTTGAGCTAAAGCTATTCCAAATATACTAACAATAAATTACAGATTATATTTTAAATATTTTACAGTCACATTATAAAAAGTTTTTGCAAGTTTTATGATAAATATATGTATATATAAGCATCTAGTAATATAAATATTTTTATTGCTAGTTAACGAGATATAGTAATTTTTTTATATGAAAACGTATTTATTGTTGTAAACTATAGAATTTTAATTGTTAAATTTCTTCTCAATATTTCCGATTTTTTTATGACTGCATGATTTTGTTAAATTGGGAGATAGAACTATGAAGATATGTATATTGTTAAAGAATAAATAAAATTTTTCATTTTTATATTTACTGTTAACACATACTCATTTCGTCTTCTAAAACCTATCGCACTTATATTTATACATATTTATATATAACTATAAATATAAACTCAGTATATCGCAAATGAATATTTGCGTATTTAATTATAAAATATATTTTATATTGTTTTCAGATCATATATTCTACACAGCCGAACCTGTATGAAAACTTGGGTCGATATTGATAGCAGAATTATGCGTGTGTACGAATAAAATATAATAAATTGCAAAATAATTTTATTACTCTACGAGTAATACAAAAATTATATATGGAAGTTTAGACAGGGAATAAGACAGGTAAAGAACAATTTTTTTTTTAACAGGAATAACAATCTCTTAAGGTATAAGATATTTTATTTTAATTTAGGTATAAGATGTTTTATTTCAACTTTTTTGGTAGAATAATATAATATATTTATAGTGAAGAACATTTATAGTAATTATATTTGCCTGTGTGTTTTATAAGATATATATTTATTAATATTAGTCAGATTCTTGGGCAAATATCATTATTTATGTCTATTGTTGTATTGTTAATATTTGTAATATAGGTAATGATCGGTGATAAAGTTCATTTTATACTATATGAAGAAATATATTTTATAAAAATTGATATCCAAACTCGATAACGATAAAAAAAATATGATAACTCAGTAATTATCCGATATTTTTATAAAGATACTTTAAAATTTCTTTTGTTAATTTATTTGTTATGTTTTAATTATTTTTTAAAAATGTATATGGTTATATATAAAGTAATAATAGAACCTATCAGAATATCTTTTTTAAAAATAAATTATAAAATTTTACAACATTAAATTTTTATATCATTTTATTTTTAAATATAAAATGCTAAATAATATTTGGAAAGAAGAAAATGAAACAAGGATCAATTTAATTGAAACGAATAAAAGATATTCTGATAAGTAGAAAGCTCAGGATATAATATTTGAAATTTTCTAAAAGACAGAGTTCCTTACCGATTAAACCGAGCTATAAATTGCATTGTAAATTCTAAGCTAATCATTAATGACCTATGATATTAGATTATGATGTTTGTGAATGTCATACATAGGAACTTAAAGTATTGTTATCTTTTACTAGAGATAAGTCAAATTATTTTTACAATTGTGAATTTTTTTATTTTAAATACTGTAAACTATAATATATATAAAAATTTTTTAAAAAAAGTTGTTAAATTTTTGTAAATGTACATTATAAGAATATCTAAATATAATATTCAAATACAGATGTTTTTTGTATTTGTTTACAATAATAAATCAAGATTACATTTTGCTTTTTCTAAGTCATGTAGAAATTTGTAAAACTGCCCTATTGTCATTTCAGTAAATATATTCTTGATTTTACCATTATTATCAAGACATAATTTAAGCTGCAGAAATGACTTTGCAACATTGTCTGAATCATTGCTTGCTGCAGTTACTGCAAAAAAGAAGACTAATATAGCAAGAAGAAAATATATCATCTTTATATCATTAATTAATATAATATCAATACAATTTAATTTATGCTAAATTATTATATTTATTATTATTTATTTTTAGACAGTTAACACACATAATATCCTTATAGTTGAACCTAGTATCATATATTCTTATAATATATATACACACAATACTTATATATAAATATAACAAATAGAATCCATAGTGACAGATTGAGTCACATGTATAGTGGCGATCAAAAATTTCAGATCAAATGATTTCTTTGTGATATTTAAAAAATATTACTATACAGAAAAGAGTAGCCAGCTGTCATAAAAGTATTCAGTTTTAACTGTGAACCTTGTAATTTACGATGAAAGAACACCAATATTTACTTAATTATTCTTGTACTCAAAATATGAAAAAAACCATTTGGCCTAAAATTTTTGATCGCCACTGTATTTGCAACCTACATTTTTTAGAATTTAATATAGAAAAGCAATATCTAACAATAAGAATATATGATAAACATATGATATTGATATTTAAAGATTCCTTTAGACCATTTAGTCTAAATTGTCTTACCTCCAAATTTCCACGATATATCAAGTATCTTGCTGACACTTTGTTCCATGTTCAAGAACTATAGAACGTGTTCTGTGGTTTTTTGACATCTAATTCGCAATCGCTTTCCAATTAAATAGCTTTGATAAGTCAAAACAGATTAAGTTAGGTTAGGTAAGGTTAAGTTAATTGTTTAAAAGATAAATATAGAAAAATAAATTATTATTTTGACATTAAAGAACTCTGTACATTTTAGTTGCACTTGGTTGCATTGTTGTACCTTCTCTTTTTTCTGTTTTTCTCTAAAGAAACGAAAGGTTTGTTCGCATCGTATGCCCCAACATGCTCCAATACGCTCCAATCTATAGTATACGTAACAATACTAACGCGAACAAACCTAAATATATACATTGTATGCTAAGTGCAATGAGTGCAACTGTAATAGCGTTTTCGATTATACAGGATTTGAACGACCCAGGGTTGATCAA